CCCGAACATACGTTTATACAACACGCACCCTCTACTCCCTGTATGTCTATACAACATACACCCTCTCCCCCCACATACATCTATACAGCACACACACACCCTCTACCCCCACATATGTCTGTATACACCGTGTACTCTCTGTGTTGCTGGAGGAGTGTTCATGTTGAATTGTGCAAGTGAGACATAAGAGAGGGGGCCAACCAGGAGGTAGAAATGGAAGGAGGGAGAAAAGGACAGTCAGTTCTGCAGATTCACTTTACCACTAACATTTACTTATTGTTAAATATCAGATCTGGTTGTATAGGAGGACTACATGTCTGTCTTGCCTTGCCCAATAAGAGTCATCTGGTAGAATAATTATATTTTATTTTTTTTAGATCATTGAAATCAAGCAGCACATGTGTTTCTTAAATACTGCAGCCACAACCGCCTCAGAAATAGCTGTCAAAAATTACTAAATTCATGAAAAGCCTTTCATACAAATTCTTATTTTATTTACAATTGTCTTGGAAATTAACTATGATTTCCTCCTTTCTTTTTTTTTGAGAAGACAGTTGAGGCAAGCCTCTTTCCCAAAGTCACCCCCGACCCCAGAGACAGTGTTGGGGCTAGACTCAAGTACTAACCCCATCTGCACTATCACTTTTTTGTTTGTGTTTTTGAGACGGAGTCTCACTCTGTCGTCAGGCTGGAGTGCAGTGGCGCGATCTTGGCTCACTGCAATCTCTGCCTCCTCAGTTCAAGCAATTCTCCTACCTCAGCCTCCAGAGTAGCTAGGATTACAGGCACCCACCACCACACCCAGCTAAGTTTTGTATTTTTAGTAGAGACAGGGTCTCATTATGTTGGCCAGGCTGGTTTTGAACTCCTGACCTCAGGTGATCCTCCTGCCTCGGCCTCCCAAAGTGCTGGGATTACAGGCATGAGCCACTACACTATCACCTTTATTTCAATGTATTTCCATCAGCAAAACTGTGCTCTTGGAGCAGAACAGTTTGTCCAATGTCTGCCTAGAAACAATCATTTTTAACATGCTGGAGGAAGTGTTTATCTCCGAGTTCAGATTATTTATAAGTGGAGAAACCTGAAATTCTCCCACAACAGAATCTGGCAAGCGCATGCAGATCAGCCTTGGACCTGTGATGTACTTGTGTTTCAAGAGCACCGATCAGCAAACACAGCTCCAATCACCCCATTTTACAGCCCAGGAGGGGGGACTTGGCAGCTGCAGAGCCAGGTGCCTGTGCACTGCTGGCTCCCTTCCTGCTCATGGAGATTCTCCACACTAATCCTCAGCTCATTCAGCCTTATTCCAAGCAAGAGCTCTTCAAAATGTAGTCTTATTGCTTAGTTAGTAGAGTGGTTATATAACAAGGCAAATCTTAGCAACTAGCCCAAAGTCTGGTATGCAATAAGCATGCAAATGATTCTTTAAAAAAATAAATAAAGTGTCTCATATCAAGAGATTGCTGTTTGCCTTCACAGCTTCCTAAAAAGGCAATGTTTAATATTTAGGACAAGATTTCCAATGAGGATTGAGCAAAATCATTACTATTTATTAAATTCCTACACTGATGCCCTTCACCTGTCATTTATACAACCTCGTGTAATCCCCACAGTCATCTTGCTACTGATTTTGATTCAATAAGGAAGACAAAGGGATAATCAAATAACTCAAATAATTCATTACGGTGACCTGCAAGTAAACTGTACTGAAAGGATTTGAACCCAGGACTGACCAGCAGCAGACTCAGTGCAGTGGCATGATCTCGGCTCGCCGCAACCTCTGCCTCCCGGGTTCAAGTGATTCTCCTGCCTCAGCCTCCCGAGTAGCTGGGACTACAGGCGTGTGCCACCATGCCTGGCTAATTTTTTGTATTTTTAGTAGAGACGGGGTTTCACCGTGTTAGCCAGGATGGTCTCGATCTCCTGATCTCGTGATCCACCTGCCTCGGCCTCCCAAAGTGCTGGGATTACAGGTGTGAGCCACTACACCCGGCCTCAGAGTGTGTTTTCTATCACATCGGTCAGTGGTTTCTAGAGGAGGTCCCTGGCCCAACAGCAACGCTTGATGGAAACACAAGTAGCTGGGTCCCAACCCAGACAGACTCAGTGGGCCACTCGGAGGGTAGAGCCTGCAGCCTTGTCTTGATGCCCCTCCAGGAGATCCTGACGCAGCTCAAGCCGGAGGGCTGTCGTGCTGCACCACTGGACCATCCCCAGCTTCTTCGTTTTCATTTGCTGGTCTTTCACTAAGTCTTGGCTCTTATTCTTGAATTTGCGTGTGCCATTTACCTACTTGGTGCTGATCTAAAATATTTTCTGTTGGCTTCAACCAGTTGTCACAGCATTTCTGCAATAGAAGTTTTTTTCTTACGTAAAAATTATTCAGCCCACTTCTTCTGGGGGACACTACACCTCTCTAAAAGCAACAGTTTCTAAATGAGGGCATTCTTAGTCACTATGACTGTTGCTACTTTCTGTAGTATTATCATAAATTTTAATATAATTGTGTGTTACCTGCAAAATTATTTCAGTATGAAGAATGATCTTACAATTAAGTGTTAAGCAGTGATGTATTGCATAACATTTCCTAATAAAGATGAGGGATCAACTAGATAGACAAGTCATTGAGGTCAGATGTGTCGCCATCATCACAAATGACTCACTGGCATATCACTGAGAGCAGAGGTGACTGATTCCGTGGGCAGCCTCTATTTCTCCAAACCCACAATGCGGTGGGAGCCAGCCCTTTATTGTATCTATCACTGACCACGACAAAACAATGCAGCCACACAAAATTGACTCCAACTCCAGCCACAGTAATATGCTGTGTGGAAGGTTTCTGAAGCAGCCAGAGGAAGGGCAATCTTGCAGCATGTACAGAAAAACTAAATTACATTCTTGCAACCCATGAGTCCCAGGTCAGCTGTGTCTCTGAGATTCTCCTTGTGCTCTGTCCCACCCGGCAGAGCTGCCCCAGCCCCTCTTACCTTTCCTGATCTTTCCCCTCTCTCCCTTTCCCACACCCACCTATATGCACACTACGGATCTTCTTTGAGATTCATTTTTCCAAGACACAGAGCTGATCATAAACATTGTTCCTTTTTTATTGTACACATTCAAAAAGAAAAATTAATTTTGTAAGCCACTCTTTTTAAAAAATTCTAAGACAACTTCGCAGTAGAGCATGGGGACTTCCACAGTGGTTGTTCATTGGTGGCAGAAAGGGGCAGTAAGATAGGCGCTGCCACCACTGTGCATCCTGCTGTGCACACACATCACTGAGGCTGGGTGTGAGCCGTGCTGCTGGGCCCATGATAGGACAAGGCCCTTCCCTTTAGCTGGAACCAGCCAGAAAATGATACTCCTGTTTCGCATATGAATTTAGGCTTAAACCTCTTATCTGTCCCTGGGGTATAAATGACCTTGATGACAAAAAGGACCTCCTTCCCCTGTGATTACCCTAGTTTAACTTGGTGTTGATTTTTCTTGAGTCTGTTTAAGAAACGCAATATGATCATGCATTTTACTGCACAGATTTTTATCTTCTTTTGTCCTTAAGGAAATAGTCACGTCAGCTTAAGGAAGGGAAAACATTCAATTAGCAAAATAAGTATGTAGGACAATATGAAGATCCCAGTGCTGACCCTACATGCTTCACAGCACAGAGGTCTCTGAAGCTGGGGGTTTGGTAATGAACGTAAGGTGGCTGAGTGTGAGCCAGGTTCCAACACAAACCCATCTGGCTCACAGGACTTCTTGCCTCCTGTCTAGTCTTTGCAATCAGCAGTATAGGAAGTTGGTTAGGAGCAGAAATTCTGGAAGCAGACATTAAAATTCCAGCCCTACCACTAACCAGTTGTGTTACCTTTGGGGAGCTATTTCTCTATACCTCAGTGCCTTCATTGATTAAATGACAGGATAATAAATGTACCTATGTGTCATAGGTAGTTGGTTGTTTATTGTTGCGTAATAAATCAACAAATTCAGTGGTTAAAAACAGCTGCAATCATGTTATCCTCTCTCACTGTTGGTCATCAGTTCAGGAAGGGCTCTGCTGTACAGCTCTAGCTCAGGGTGTCTCTTGGGGCTGTGGCCAGACAGTGACTGAAATGTGACAACGGCTGAAACTGAGGGTGGAGCAGCACAGTGGGGGCTGGGCATCTCTCTCCCCATGCAGACTCGGGCTTCCTCCTATTTTCTGTCCAGTGGAGCTAGTTGGGCTTCCTCACAGCATGGCAACCTCAGGGCAGCTGGGCTGCTTATGTGGTGGCTGCAGGCTTCAAGAAGGAGGCTTCCAGCAAACGAAGTGGAAGTTGTGTCATTTTTTATGGACCACACTCAGAAGTACCATGGTGTCACTTTCACCATATTCTTTTGACCATACAGTCACCACAGCCCCACGTGCAAGGAGACATCCCTTTGATTAGGGAAACATCAACGTCTCACACTAAGAAGATCTATAGGGTGGGCAGCAATGTGGTGGTCATCTCTGCAGAGCACAACCTACCGCAGTTGGGTTGTCAGGAGGTTTAAATGAGTAACTTCATGCAAAGCACTCAGAACTTGCGCCTGCACATAGTGATCCCCTGTGAAGCATGAACCTTGCAAAGATGTGCAGCCAAATTGGCAAAACAGGGACCAGCAGCCTGTGAAAAAGCAACTTGAAGAGTTCCTTTCCTTCCCCTGTAGGCCGGGGAGCATCTGCTGCTGACTTAGCCCCAGAGAAGGCAGTGCTCATTTACTGACCTCTGTGCTCAGGTCTGGGGCACCTTGCCTAGGCATGCCACAGAGACTGAGAAAAGGACACTGGCTGAATGGATAGAAAGTGGTTCCATGTGCTATTTGGACCAGCTGTGTGGACTGCCTGTGCTGGGATGAGCGCTAAAACAGGATTTGGTTGGAATTCCAGAGAGGTAGACTTGAGGTTGCCATCGGTCTCAGTGTGCTCACCTTAGCTGGGACCAGAGCTTCCTCCGGGTCCTCGTGTGCGGCTGATGTCTGCATTGTTGCTGGCTCAGGTGGGCAGAGTCAGGTCTGAGCATTGCCACTTGCTGGCCACAGCACCTGGGACAAGTGAGTTTACCTGCTCATGGGACATGAGCTCTGGATTTGGGCTGTTGCTCCTGGTACGGGCCCACCTGGGTCATCCTAGGTCCTTGGTGATCCCACCATACATACTGTGTGACGTGTCCCCAAGTCGTCCTGGTTCTACTCTCAAACCTCACGGCTGTCTGCCCCCTCGCACTGCCTCTGCCTCCTGATTCTTGCCAGTTCTTTCTCACACCCGCCCCTCCCTCCTAACTGGCCTCCACCTCCGGAAGGTCCCTACACTCCCCCTCTGCACTCCAGAGTGTGCCCTCACCTGAATACCGTTCCCACCCCATTCCTCCCTCCTTCAAGCCCTTCTTGGTTCTTGGCCTGGTCCAGGAGGCCAAAGGCCCGCCTAGTGTGCGTTCCTCCTCCTTCAATACGTAGCTTGTGGTCCCGCTCCCGAGAAGCCTCCGCCTGCCTCGCACTGCTCTGTTAAGCTGCCTGGCCCTGTTCAACATTGAAACATTTCCCTGAAGGCTGCCTCACAGCAGATTGTCCTTACTGTTTACCTCTGTGACTCCCTCCCGGGCAGATGCGCCAGGTCAGCTCTCCCCAGGCACCTGCACATCCAGAGCCCCTGGACTGTGGAAATATGCCGTGGGCATAGACTGTGCCGTGGGCATAGACTCTTGGAGGGACTTTCTGTCGGTGAACACCTGGGCTTAGACAAACCCCTAACCTTGGCTCCTCCGGTACTGCCTGAACAAGGAGGCATGGCCAGAGAATGTGCAGAAAGCTGATCACTTATCTCAGGCAGAGGCTGAGCACACGGAGCAATCACAGCCAGACCAGGCCATCCTAGAGCTTTGACCCATAGCTCGGAGCAGCCTGTCCAGGAAGCCAAACCACAACTTCTGTAGCCATCGACTCGGGGTGGTCAGGATCTACACAATAACTGACAACTTCCCTAACTTTGCCCCTCTTCCAAATTAGGATCAACCAGAAAGAGCTAAATGTACACCCTTACCGATCCCATGGGCTGCCCGGCTGCCAGCCTCCATCAGGCACACCGCAAGCCTTCCTTTTTCCATATTATGAAGCATCCCACTCCTCTGCCTGCCTTTGAGTCTCTGCCCAGCACAAGTGACCACGGCCACCTCCCTTGCTATGATGAGCTCTGAAGAAGTAGCGTTTGCTGTTTCTCTGTAGCCACACCAGACCCCTGGAGGCCAAGGCAGGCAGCTGAGCTGTGAAGGCTGTAGGTGGGGATCTAGGTGAGCTGGATGTGGCAGTAGATGAGTGAGGACTTGAGACACTTATTTCCGTGAAAGACAGCGTATGTGCTCCTGCACAGGCCTGGTGGTTCCTCCTTATCTCCACGTGTGGAATGCTGGGTGGCTGGGGGAGGGGGTGGTTGCTGGCAAAGAGGGGAGTAACTACTATTACAAAGAAATACAAAAAAAACACCAACCACTGTTAAAATGTTAGCACTTTTGCTCACTCCCTTTAAATAAACATTATTTTCTTGTTTCCCTCAACACCATTATACTTATGAAGAAACAGACCAATGCACACAAGTAGGAAAATTGGTAAAATAATTAACCTGAAAGCCCACAACTTAGAAATAACTACCCTTAATGTAGGCAAATGTCACATCAGATTTCTTTTTATGAGAAATTCAGATGGAAGGTGAGATGGATATAAAGATAAATGCATGGAGAGTCTTTAAAAAGTAGGCAAATATAAATGTGTTTTTTTATGTAAAGGTAATAACTGGTATATTTAGTTTCACTTGAATTTAACAGAATACAAAGTGGAGTTAAAGTGAATAGGTATTCAAATACATGTTTCTTCACTACAAAAACTATTATTATTATATAACATATCTAAGAATAAGAAAAGAGGCTGTGAAAATGTTAAGTGCTTGTGAGTCATGTTTTTATCTGTTTTGAGCTTAGACAGTTTCAACCTGGCACCTGGCATGAAAGAGGACAGAGCCCCTCATTCATTGTACTCAGCTTCCATCCTTGTAGCTCCTGATGTTAGTCTGTTATGATTTCTATGTGTGTCCCTTTACATAATGTTCTGATTCTGTTCTATAAACATCATTCCCAGCACCCTTCAGTGTGGATAAATGTGTAAACTGCTCACAGTAGCTGGAGCCAGAACTTCAGTGTCCTGGTGTGTGCGGCTGTGCGTTCTCCACGGCGTCTGAGTTCGCTGGATGGAGTCCGGTGTGAGCACTGCCACTCACTGGCCGTGGAACCTGGGATCAAGTGTTCCCCAGGTGCTCTTGCTGGTGTAGAGAAGGAGGCGTGTCCAAGCGGCTCATCGCAGGCTTGCTTACAATTAAGTAAAAAACAAAATGAAACCTAAATGCTCATTGTGAGAAACAGATACTTACATTGTGGTATCTTCATACAATTAAGTATTACACAGATTTAAATGTATGATCTAGATCCACATGACGAATCTCGTAAAATAAAGCTGAGAGAAAGAAGCTTGGTGCAGAAAATTATAGTAAGCCATCTTTTTGTGAATTTTATAAACACCCAGAAAAACATTGTATGCTGCCTATGAATTCATATACATGAGGTACAACTATCAAAACACTGGCTCCAGAAGGCTGATTACTCCAGGGAAGAGGGAGGAGGGCACGCATGGGATCTGGTGGGATGCAAAAGATGTTACCATGAAATTGGAAATGTTTTATTTGTAAAACAAAACACGAGTACATGTGACAAGCATATCAACACTTGCTTGCTATATTAGGTACTCTGCTTTCTGCTTGTTTGAAATATTTCCTAAACAAACCTGTGGAAGAAGAGAGGAGAGGAGAGGAAGCTGGCTGCTTCAGGAGGAAGCCCCACTGCTCCCAGATTCCAGGTCTCTGAGTTGGCCCTCCCGTCCTCTCCTGTCCCCTCTTTCTCCCTGTCCTGACTCAAACCACACCTGTGCCCTCAGAGCGGGGTTTTCTGTGCATTCATACACAACTGCTTCTTGTACCCTCTGTCCTCTGCTCCCGCTGGGGCCTCTGAGTGACCTCTGGGAAGCTGACTGCTATGGTTTGGATTCATGTCACGCCCAAATCTCATGTTCAATTGTTATCCTCAGTGTTGGAGGCGGGGCCCGGTGGGAGGTGATGGATCATAGGAGTGGATCCTTCATGAATGATTTAGCACAAGGGCGTCCAATCTTTTGGCTTCTCTGGGCCACATTGGAAGAAGCATTGTCTTGGACCACACATATTACAAAATACACTAACATTAATGATAGCTAATACATTAACATCAACATAACACCTGACAGGCTCTGGTGTGTGATATTCCCCTCCCTGTGTCCATGCATTCTTATTGTTCAGCTCCCACTTATAAGTGAGAACATGCGGTGTTTGGTTTTTTGTTCCTGTGTTAGTTTGCTGAGGATAATGGCTTCCAGATCCAACCATGTCCCTGCGAAGGACATGATCTTGTTCCTTTTCGTGGCTGCATAGTATTCCATGGTGTATATGTACCACATTTTCTTTATCCAGTCTATCATTGATTGGCACATGGGTTGATTCCGTGTCTTTGCTGTTGTGAATAGTGCTGCAGTGAACATCTGCATGCATGTATCTTGATAATAGAATGATTTGTATTCCTTTGGGTATGTATCTAGTAATGGATTGCCGGGTCAAATGGTATTTCTGGTTCTAGGTTTCTGAGGAATGGCCACACTGTCTTCCACAACGGTTGAACTAATTTACATTCCCACCAATACAGCAGTGCAAGAACAAACTGACACACTGACCCTCCTGGCCAAGTGTTCCTACACCATCCCATTCTTTTTTGTTGTTTGTTTTTTGTTTTGTTTTGTTTTGTTTTAGACGGAGTCTCACTCTGTCGCCCAGGCTGGAGTGCAGTGGCGCGATCTCGGCTCACTGCAAGCTCCTCCTCCCGGGTTCACGCCATTCTCCTGCTTCAACCTCCCAAGTAGCTGGAACTACAGGCGCTTGCCACGCCCGGCTAATTTTTTGTGTGTTTTTAGTAGAAACAGGGTTTCACGGTGTTAGCCAGGATGGTTTCGATCTCCTCAGGATGGTGATCTGCCTGCCTCGGCCTCCCAAAGTGCTGGGATTACAGGTGTGAGCCACTGCACCTGGCCCACCACCTCATTCTTACACTTGCTATCCAGTCACTACAGCAGTTTGTAACCGCCTGCACATATCAGTCCCAGTGGCTAGATGGAGGCTATGCTAAGAGCTGGGCTCTGGTCTGAGTTCTGTCTCTACCCACAAGTCAGTCTAGAAGCCAGTGGGGAACGCAGGAAGTGTGTTTTGAGCTCAGCAGACTGAACCTCAGGCATGCCATTGGTCATTCTCAGTCCCTGGCCAGTCACTGCTGGACCTCAGTGAAGGCAGGAGTCCACTACTGCTGGAGTCACCTCAGAGCCCCCATCCCCAGGCCTGCTGCTGTGGAGTCTGGGGGGCTCTTACAGCCACAGTCACACACCCATAGGTGAAGGTGGGAAGGTGCTGCAGCCAGAGCTGAACTGGTTTCCTCTCTTTTGAGGACTTCCCTCATTTTTGTTAGTTGATTTTTTTTTTTTTTTTTTTTGACTGAGTTTCACTCTTGTTGCCCAGGCTGGAGGGCAATGGTGCGATCTCTGCTCACTGCAACCTCTGCCTCCCAGGTTCAAGCGATTCTCTTGCCTCAGCCTCCCAAGTAGCTGGGATTACAGGTGACTGCCACCAAGCCTGGCTAATTTTTGTATTTTTAGTCAAGATGGGGTTTTGCTATGTTGGCCAGGCTGGTCTTGAACTCCTGACCTCAGGGGGCCTTGGCCTCCCAAAGTGCTGAGATTATAGCGTGAGCCACTGTGCCTGGCCAGTTGTTGTTGTTCTTGAGGCTTTTATTGATCTTTCAGCTTCTAAGAGGCTTACTGCTGTCACCACTCCATCAGCTCCTTGCTTTCAGGGGCTGAATTAAATTTTTTTCCTGCTTCATGATTGAGAGACCACTCATTACTGTGAGTCTCTGCTCTTCCTCAAGCACCTTCCATAATCACATCATTACTCTCCTGAGCGTCTGGTGAAGTGTGTCACCATCATCTCCATTTCACCGATGAGCACATAGAGGCTCCAAGAGGCAGAATGACCCATGCAACGTGACACAGCAAGCAGCAGGGCCAGAAATACTTCCAGGGTGGCGGGATTCCCAGCCAGACCTCTGCTCCTTCTGCAGCTCCCCTGATCCCACCCTGACTCTTGTCCCCCGGGGCCAGTGGCCCCCCCAGCGTGCTCACTCCAGTTATTGTCAGGGACAGGACCAGCCCAGCAGATGTGCCAACAGTGATGTGTGTATACCAGCCTGAAGGAAAGACAGTGATAGGCAGTGATAAGCAGCCTCATTACTCCGGGGCAATTGTACGCAATTAACAGCTTTACTCATTTCACATTCCTGCCCTTCTGATAGATGTGCCATTTTATATGCAGTTATAATTCCCGTATCAATACAAGATTGCTCCACTTTGAAGCAGAAGTAAAAAGCGGTGGGAGGGGTCACTGGGCCAAGCCGTGACTGGCTGCGCCCTGAGAAGGGCTGGATGCACTGCTGCCCTTAAGTCTTCATCAGGGAGCCAGTGTCACTGGGGCAGGGCGCCACAAAGGTGGGATCATCAGCAAATTATATCGCTAATGAAGGGCAAATTAATGAAACACTGTAACGTTTTATAAGCCTGTGCAAACAGCAACTTGTCATACATCACTGGGAAATAATTGCCAAAGAGTTGCTTAGAAGATACTCATTAAGTCTTCACAATACCAACTGGACAGACTATCCCCCACGGAGCAGCCTGTTCAAAAGAGCTTCTCTCTGTATCTCAGGCTCTGAGAAACAGATTTCAGGCCGTGATCCCAGGCAGGCATCCAGCCTCACCTTGTGTGGTAGGATGGGCATGTCTGGGGACGTCATCTTATGAGCTGGAGGAGAGAGATGCCCCGCCCCCAGCAAAGGGCAGTGAACCATCAAATTGCAAAAATGTTGTATGTGTTAGAAGATAATTCCTTTTCTGCTCTTCCTTACCGATACTTGTTTTTGAAGAAAAAGACAGCAAAAGCAATGCTGATGCCAATGTGAACCACAGCACACCTGGCTGCTGCATCTGGACGATGCCCTGCAGCCCGTCATGCATACACCTTGGTGGTGATGATAGCAGTAGTGCGGGCACAGCTGTAAGTCTTAGCATAATTAGCAGTCTTGCCATGCAGTCTCATTAGGTCTGGATGGGCCTAGCTTAAATTTGGAATGACTTTTGCAAATGTTCTTGCGGTCTGTTCTCTGTAGGATGGCTAATGCTAACAGAGTTGCAATCAGCCCAAAGGCCACCAGTTCCTGGTCTTGCCGTGGGGCCGGTGTAGGCAGATGCACCTGTCTGCAGGGCTGTCTCAGTGCTCCAGCGTCAGCCTCTTGAGGACACTGTGGGAAGGTCTGTGTCATGCGAGGTGGTTGTCCTGGGGGCTGGAAGGAAATTCATGGTTATCAAGTTGGACAGAAAAGAAATGAGACAGAGAGGAAGAGGGGTTGCTGGGGGAGAGATAGAGGAGAAAGGAAGAGAGAGAGAAGAGAGAGATGGAAGACAGGGCCTTGGGCTGTAGCTCTCACGTGGGATCAGGAGGAGCACCAAACGGGCCCTGCCTGGACATGGAAATGGTCTGTGCAGTGAGAGATTTGGGGCTATGTCAGGGGTTAATGGTTTCCATGGATCCCGTAGGTGGGGATTGGGATAGAGGCAGGGGAGGCCGCTGTGGAGATGGCAGGCCCTGCTGAAGAGTAGAAGGCTGACAAGTGGCAACTTCTCAGGGCTTCAGGTTATTAGGAAAGTTAGTGTTATGGGCTGAGTTTTGCTCCCCTTAAATCCATATGTTAAAGCAGTAACCCCCAGGACCTCAGAATGTGACTGTTTGGAGACAGGGCCTTTCAAGAGGTGATTAAGGTAAAATGAGGTCAGGAGGGTGGGCCCTAACGCAGTCTTCCTGGTGTCCTCATATGAGAGGAGATGAGGACATGGACAGGCACAGAGGGAAGACCACAGGAGGACATGGGAGAAGACAGTCACTTGTAAACCAAGGAGAGAGGCCTCAGGGGATGCAACCCTGCCGACACCTTGATCCTGGACTTCCAGCCTCCAGAACTGTGAGGAAGAGTTTTTGTTTAAGAAGAAGCCTCTCTGTCCATGGGGCTTTGCTACCGCGGCCCTTATAGATGAACACATTTGGGAAATAGGAGCTTGCAGGGTGGCCTTGATGAGCACGGGCTGAGGTTAAGATATCAGTAACACAAGCTTCCTCTGTCCACCCCAGTCTTGGGCAAACATGGACTTAGGTAAGGAATTACCTAAACACTGCTAGGTCTTGCACCAGCCCCCAGCCAACCAGCCCTTGTACTCCCCACAAAGAACCCACACACGCCCCATGAGCCAACCGCTAGGTGCCACACACAAACTCACACCCACAGGCACTTGCCACTTGACCCCCTTGGCCACTGCAGACAGGATTCCCAGAGCCAGAGCTGAGCTGATTAACCTCTCCTCATCGTCCCCCTCTCCTCCCCTTCCCGGTGTCTGGTAACCACTATTTTACTTTCTGCTTCTATAATGTCATTTTTTTAAAGATTCCATGAATGAGTGAAATCATGCGATATTTGTCATCCTGTGACAGGCTGATTTCACTTAGCATAATGTCCTCCAGATCCATCCATGTTGTAGTGAATGACAGGCTTCCCTTCTCCAGGGCTGCGTGGTATTCCACTGGGTCCGTACACCACGTTTTCTTTATCCATTCGTCTGTTGTAACGGGGTTCCAGATGGGAAGAGTGAAGAGTGCAGCAGAACTCTCAGCAGCAAAGCAATGATTTCACTGGAGAAAATGATTTTTTAAAAGTCTGTGGAAACTGTTCTAAGGATATACTGCAAATGAAGAAATATTCATTAAACAATTACTATATTTGGTAACAGTGACCAGAATGTGCAGCATTTGAACCATCAGCCCCTTTCCCTGCAGCATTCCCAGCTCTCATGGAAGCTGCCCTGGGGATTTCAGTCCATTGGATGCAGTGGAAAATCAGGCCTTCTTCTGTCTCCATCTCCTAGCTGGGAATATGTCCACACTGCAGGAGCAGCAGGCCGCCAATGCTTCTATTTGCCTCTGCCCCATGTCGCAGAAGCTCTCTCCCAGGCAGGCACTGGCTCCCTCCCCTGCTCAGCCTCTACTCATAAGGTGGGAGCTCTACCTAGGTGTATCAGGCTGAGAATATGGGGACCCTGATCCTCTGCCCCATGTCATTCCTCATGAGGCGGAAGTTCCGTGCTTAGAGGGGAAAGACAAGAAGACTAGGGGCTCACACTTCCAGTGTTTGTTCTTATTAGCGAAACACCAGGGGCTCAGTTTGGGTCCTATTGCTCACCACACAGAAAACCAATCACTAAGATGTTGAGTATTGCCAAGAAAGAAGGCTTTAATCAGGTGCTGCAGCCAAGGAGATGAGAACTCAGTCTCAAATCCATCTCCCTGACCAACTAAAACTTCCACCCTATGAATAGAGGCTGGGCAGGAGAGTGAGCCAGTGCCTACCTGGAAGAGAGCTTTTGCAACACGGGGCAGAGGCAAGTAGAAGCATTGGCAGCCTACTCCTCCTGCAGTGTGGACATATTCCCAGCTGGGGGATAGAGACGGAAGGAGCCCCGATTTTTCACTGCATCCAATGGACTGGAGTCCCCAGGGCAGCTTCCATGAGAGCTGTGAGGGCTGTAGGGAAAGGGGCTGGTGGCTCAAATGCCACACATTTTGGTCACTATTACCAAATACAGGTAACTAGGGATTTACTGCATTAGTCCATTTTCATGCTGCTATAAAGAGCTGCCCAAGACTGGAAATTTATAAAAGAAAGAGGTTTAATTGACTCAGAGTCCAGCATGGCTGCAGAGGCCTCAGGAAACTTACAATCATGGCAGAAGATGAAGAGGAAGCAAGGCATCTTCCTTTTGTAAAATTATTATTATACTTTAAATTCTAGGGTACACGTGCACATGGGCATAACAATTCAAGAGGAGATTTGGATTGGGACACAAAGCCTAACCATATCAGTTTATATAGCAGGGAAGAAACGTAACAATGTGTGGGAAAACAGGAACTAGGGAGGGGCAAGGAAGCAATCATGATGAATGAGGGGTCCAGCATTTCATTGTCTGAATGTGGTGATCTGGTGAGTTTCAGTTCTTTGATACTTCTTTTGGGAGTCCTGAAGGTCATTTCCTGAAGAAGAAACTCAGATAAAACAAATAGTTTCAAGCTTTAAGACCAAAGTGTCCATTTCTGTATTTTTTTTTTTTTAAATTGCCCATGGATCAGTTTAATCACTTTCATTCCGAGAGCAATGGTGTCACCCGGGAGAAGTGCCCACAGTTCCCACTCCAGACTCCATGCAGTTGTGCAGGACTCCTGCCAAAAGTGAGGGCCAGGGCATAAGGACTAATGGCAACACTGGTCTGTCTCAGGGGACCAATTTTATCTGGAAGAGATAATGGAGAATTCTGTACCTAAGGGTATTGCCCCCACAAAGGGAGATCTTGGTAGAAGTAATTAAGAGAGTATTTACGTCTCCATGATCCGTACAACCAGCTGTGTGACAGAGAAGCCAGTTTAATAGAACTGGGGAAAGAGAGTGCCAAGACCAAGAAGAGCCTTCTGAGGTTTGTGGACAACCTGGGTCCTGTGAAGGTTGTGTTCAAGTGTAGGATCCACTCAACCAGGAAGAATCAGAGGGAAATACTTGCAAATATTCCCAGAGCTTCACACAAGGTAGTCAACATCACTTGCACTAGGGGCTTGAGCACAACCTCTGACCAAAGACTAGCTGAACGATAAGCTACTCTAAAGCACAGTGACTCCTAGAAAGTCAGGCTGAAATAGTACCAGCACACCTCATTTTATTACACTCCATTTTATTGTGCTTCCCAGACACTGGATTTTTTTTTTTTTTTACAAATAGAAGGTTTGTGGCAGCTCTGCATCTAACAAGTCTATTGATGCCACTTTTTTCCTAATAGCATGTGCTCACTTTGTATCTCTGTGTCGCATTTTGGTAGTCCTGAAAATATTTCAAACATTTTCATTATCATTACGTCTGTTATGGTGATCTCTTGTTACTACTGTAATTTGGAGTGCCACAAACCCTGCCCACCACATAAGGCAGTAAACTTAATCAATAAATATTGTGTGTGTTCTGATTGCTCCACAGACTGGCCATTCTTATGTTTCTCTCCCTCCCTCTGGGCCTTCTGGTTGCCTGAGACACAAAAATATTGAAATTAGGCCAATTAATAACCCATCAGTGTCCTGTGAGTGTTCAAGTGAAAGAAAGAGTATGTATCTCTCACTTTGAGTCAAAAACTGGAAATGATTAAACTTAGTGAGGAAGCTCTGTTGAAAGCCAAGGTAGGCTGAAAGTGAGGCTTCTTGAGCTAAACAGTTAGCCAAGCTGTGAATGGAAAGGAAAAGCTTTTGAAGGAAATTAAAAATGCTATTCTAGTAAACAGGATAATAAATAAGTGAAACAGCCTTATTGCTGATATGGAGAATTTTAGTGGTCTCGAGAGATCAAAATATTCCCTTAACACAAAGAATAGGTGCACTGTCAATGAGCAGGAAAAAAAGTTGAAAGTAATCTTTTTTTTTTCTGAGCAGTAGGTCTCAACAGTTGACTTAAAATATTCAGTAAACCATGCTGTAAACAGATATGCTGCCATTCAGGCTTTGTTTTTACATTTATAGAACACAGGCACAGTAAATTTAATGTAATTCTTAAGGGCCCTAGGACTTTCAAAATGGAACATGACTATTGGCTTCAACTTAAAGTTACCAGCTGCATTAGTCTCTTACTCCTTAGTCTCATATCGTTAGTCTCTTCCTCCGATCCAGAGAAAGGTCCTAACCCTGTTCAATTCTGTGAACACTGAAGGAGGTGAGGAAGCTGCAAAAGAAAAGTTGGAAGCTAAAAAGGTTGGTTCCTGACTTTTAAGGAAAGAAGCCGTCTCCATAACATAAAAGTAGAATGTGAAGCTATAGCAAGTTATCCAGAAGATCTAGCTAAGATACTTGATGAAGGTGGTTGCACTAAACAACGTGTTTTCAATATAGATGAAACAACCTTATATTGGAAGAAGATGTCTTCTAGG